TATTCTTAATTTATCTCTTAATTCATCCACTTAGTGCATAAGGCAGAAAAATTCTTAAAGAAAATTCCAAACACCCCAATCAGAATCAAGACTCCAGAGCATCAATTAGCGCCGAATCTTTGAAAAAAGTAAATAATTTTTTATTTTCTAAAATTGTGAGATAAAAAGAAAAAAAGAAAACAATAAAGAAACCTCTAAATTGGCCGAAGTGAGTAATCGGAGCTTCTGTTTTTTCTAAGAAATAAAAACAGTAAGACCCGAACCCCTAAACAATTGAGTATAGACGGCAGAGCCATGTGCCCTTGAAGCATTTTCAGACGCGGCACAGCCGTCACCACCAAATCAAATTCTTCAATCCTCCGGCACCCAAGTAACGCTTTCCCTCTTCCTTAACTACCCTTTTCATCTTCTTTCGAGCTAGGGGAGAAGAAGACAAAAGATCGTTTCTTTTTTGATTTGTTGATTCTTCGTTTTCCGGCAACAATGTCGAAGTCGCCATCCCCGGCGTCGTCCCCGGTTCCTCCACCTCCGTCCAACAGTTCCTCACCCTCACCACCTGCTGCCTCACCACCAACCCCGTCGTCTGCCCCACCTCCTCCCAACAGTACCTCATCGACGCCACCGCCACCATCAGCGTCCCCACCTTCCTCCCCCACACCCCCCACACCACCCTCCTCGCCACCGCCTACACCGCCTTCACCTTCTTCCCCTTCAACGCCATCGCCTCCGCCTCCTTCCACTTCCACGCCACCTACTCCATCGGGTGGGAGTAGTCCTCCTCCTCCGCCCACCAAAACCGGGACATCTCCATCGCCTCCACCTCCGAGCAATTCGGGCACTCCGTCACCGCCTAGTTCCGGATCTAGTTCATCCTCAAACACTATCTCAACGGGGTTGGTTGTGGCAATAGCTATTGGGGGAGTGGTGATATTGTTAGTGGTAAGCATGTTGTTCTTCTGTTGTAAGAAGAAGAAGAGGAGACGTGATGAAGATTACTACAGGAGGCCGCCGCCCCCACCTCCTGGGCCAAAACGTAAGGAATTTATCAGATTTCGGAATTCTGTTTGTTCTTTTGCATGTTCTTTTGATATTTTCTTTCGAAATCAGGTGAAAACTTTATTTCCTGTTAGATGAATTTTGCATGAAAAAGCATACAAATTTCATATCCGTTCAGCAATGGGGGGGAAATTGAATGATTTTCTGTTGTTTTCCTCTGTTTTCCTGTGGAGATTCTGGGGAATGCGTGACTCCAATTTCGAAATTTATTATTATTATTATTATTATTTAGGGAATTCATTTTCTGCTTTTTACATTCTTGAGACAAGGATCTCTGTCTAGATTCCACAAAACATGGGATTTAGACATGTAGTTTTATTATCTGTAGACATTTTTGCCATTTTATTTGCATTTTCCTTTGAGTTACACAATGCTTTTCCTTGCATACTTATCTGTCTTGCTTTGATAAATTGGCGTTAATATTGGAATGTTTGTTCTATAGTTGTTTTATGTAGAATCAAATTAAGTCTTAGGTAATCTGGTAATGTTCCTATTTCTTGTATGAATTTCCCTTTGTTTAAGTTTTGATGATCTCCTTCGGTTTGGTCTTTTGGGAACTGTGATTGATTCGATAATAACAATGTTGGATTTTCCTATGAATTTCCCTTTGAATAGGTTTTAAAGTAGTATTGATTCACTACTATCTTCCCACATTCCAGATAGACATGCTTGTATAATTCTTAATTCCTGGACAAGGTAATGATATTTTCTGTGCATTTCGATATTGCCAGATGATGTTTATGGTGCCCAGCAGTATCAGTGGCAACAAAATCCTCCCCCTCGTGCTGATAATGTTTATACATATCCAAAGCCCTCTCCACCACCAGTTCTATCGAGGCCACCCCCGCCACAGTCTCTCGGTTACAGTTCCACAACTACAAATTCATTGCCACAACCACCTCCACCACCACCTTTCATGAGTAGCAGTGGTGGTTCTGGCTCCAACTATTCAGGTGGTGACCCACTTCCGCCTCCGTCTCCTGGGATTGCATTAGGTTTCTCAAAGAGCACATTCACATATGAGGAATTAGCAAGGGCGACAAATGGCTTCTCAGAAGCAAACCTTCTTGGACAAGGTGGTTTTGGGTATGTGCACAAAGGAATCCTTCCAAATGGGAAAGAAGTAGCAGTCAAGCAGCTAAAGGCTGGAAGTGGACAGGGAGAGCGAGAATTTCAGGCAGAAGTTGAGATTATCAGCCGAGTGCATCACAAGCATCTTGTTTCGTTGGTTGGCTACTGCAGCACTGGGTCACAGAGAATGCTTGTTTATGAGTTTGTTCCTAACAACACTCTGGAGTTTCATTTGCATGGTAAGTTTGTATTTTGAGTTTAAATTAAAAAACATGATATGCATGCTTATCTTTTTGTAAATCTTCAAATGAAATTACTTCATTTTGATTGCTTGATTCTTTATTTTACTGGTTTAAGTTCTCCTTGTTGATTCTTTCTTTGATTGCAGGAAAGGGACGACCTACAATGGATTGGCCAACTAGGGTGAGAATTGCTTTAGGGTCGGCAAAAGGACTGGCGTATCTACATGAAGATTGTATGTCTCCCTCCCTCCCTCCTTCTCTGCTTCCTCCTCCCCTCTCTCTCTCTCTCTCTCTCTCTAGATAAACCTTAGGATAAACTTTCTCCATGCACGCTGCAGGTCATCCTAAGATCATTCATCGTGACATCAAAGCTGCAAATATTCTTCTGGATTTCAAGTTTGAGGCAAAGGTATTGATTTTGTTGTTCATCATTTTCTTGTGATCTGTAATTTGCTTTTCTTTTTTAATTCTCATGAACAAAAATCCAAAGTAATACAACTCAAAGGAAATTATTAGACCTTGTGAATGCTATTGATTTGATTAATGTAATGTAGGATTTGCTTCACATCAGTCTAAAACTTATTGTTTGAATGGCAATTTGTGGATGCGTTTAATTTTGGATATACGTTGACTGTTTTGATGGCTTTACCTTTGTTTTCTGTTGGTCATCCAAATCTCCATTTATTCTTTACTAATTACCAATGAGATGATAAATCTAAATTTTGTGCTCAGGTTGCTGATTTTGGGCTTGCAAAGTTTTCCTCTGATGTTAATACCCATGTATCTACCAGGGTGATGGGTACTTTTGGGTAAGGACATCCTCTCACCTTCCTAGCTGTTAGTACTCTAGTTATCTTTTTCTATTTTTGAGATAAATTGTAGTTTGATGTAATTTCCTGCTCTACTTTCTTATTTTTAACCCAAAAACATGTTCTAGCATGTCATTAAGCATTCAGTTACTTCTTTGGATAAACTTACATGCTTTCTACATCCAGGTATTTGGCTCCCGAATATGCTTCTAGTGGAAAGCTTACAGACAAATCAGATGTCTTCTCCTTTGGAGTCATGCTTTTGGAGTTGATTACTGGTCGCCGACCCGTTGATTCTTCTTTCATGGAGGACAGCTTGGTGGACTGGGTAATTGATTACTTTAATACTCTATTTTATTCGTATGACCTGTTGCCTGCTGGTTTGAATTGTCTGAAATGCAGTTTTTGCCTTTTTGGGTTTGAACTTTTCAATGTTCTATTAATTGATTTTGTGTTGGCATTGCAGGCAAGGCCCTTGCTTACACGAGCTGCAGATGATGAGAACTTTGAAAGCCTGGCTGATCCAAGACTTCAAAACGAATATAACCACAACGAGATGGCACGCATGGTTGCTTGTGGTGCTGCTTGCGTGCGACATTCAGCAAGACGTCGGCCACGAATGAGCCAGGTAATTAATTAGTTTGTTGATTAAACATTACCATCTAACACCTGGGATACAAGACCCTAACTAAAAAACTTGCAACAAAGCAGATAGTCCGTGCTTTAGAAGGAGACGCTTCTCTGGCCGACCTCAATGAAGGAATCAGACCCGGACACAGCACCATGTACAGCTCCTACGGCAGCTCAGATTATGACAACAGCCATTACAAAGAAGACATGAAACGGTTCAGGAAGATGGCATTAGGCACCACGGAATATGGTGCCAGCAGTGAGTACAGCGAACCAACCAGTGAATACGGCCTCTACCCTTCAGGCTCCAGCGGCGAAGCCCAAACTACCCGGGAACGGGAAATGGAAATGGGAAAGATGAAGAAGAACGGCCAAGGGTTCGACAGCCACGGTTTCAGCTGAAGCTCTAACTCGGAAAAATCCAGCCATCCTTGTTCCATGCTCTGGAAGGATTATAAGAACGGATTGTTTTCAATCAAGATGAACACACATCTGGTTTTATTTTATTTTTTTAATTCTCCTCCTAATTTTGAAATGACTGTTTTATATATATATTTAGTGACTACAAAATTAAAAATAATGGATATTATACACTTGGCTTATTCTTTTATTGGTTTTTTTAATGTTAATATCAAGTTGGTTGATTGTTGGCAAATGTTGCAATTTCCCCCTATCTTGTTCTTTTATTATTTTTTATGAGTAAGGATAGTAACGATGAAAATTTGAAGGTAATGATATAATTTATGTTATATTATTAAATTAATTGATTTATATAACATTAAGTTTAAAAAAATAAAAAATTAATTGTTAATTAATTTAAAATTTATTTTTTTATTATTTTAAATAATATATTTTTATCACAATATTGATTTAAATTTTTTTTATCTTAATTACACAATAAAAGATAATTATTTTTTATTTTTTATCTTATTCTACTTGTATGTTATGCGATTCAAATTTAAAATTTTTTATTTTTAACATAAAAAGATAATTATTAAATTATTTAAATGGTTGATATTAATATTAAATTTTAACATTATTTATTAATATTCTTTTTATTGTCACATGTATATATGAATAGAGGAACATTCTCTTGCAAAAAAAAATTTAGGACAGGTTTATTATGTTCAAATGCAGGGGAGGAACAAGGGGAAGGGACAAAACTGAGAAAAGTGGACAGCTCATTATACATTGGATGGTGTGCAATGGTCCACTTTAGTTTTCCGGAGTGGGTTGGTGGGGTGGGGGATGGTGAGCCAACAAATTCAGAAAGTCAAACACGGGAACCAACTGACAGTTGTAAAGGTTTTCTTTATGGGCAACTGGAAAGCTTATTTTATTCTTTAAAGAGTACGAAGATATTCTAGTTTTGAACTTTTTAAATTAAAAAAATATTTTATAATTTAAATTATAATTAAATTATAAAATATTAATTATTTAACAATAAAAGACCTCTCGATGATAGGCATTGTTGTCAAAATCTAGATTTAAATCTTTAAATCTTTAAATCTTACGATTTTATGATTTCAGCAAGACATTTCATGTAAAATTTATACTAAAATCTGAAATTCATAAAATTTAGGAATTTCACGGTAAAATCTAGATTTTACCATGAAATCAGATAAAATCATGTAAAATCTCGATTTTACCTTCTGTTTGGCAGCTAGACTTTTAGCCTATTTTCTTTTGGGCTTCTCATATTGGATTAGTGAGTTTTGACTAGATAACCCATAAATTAAGCTCATTTTTCATTTTAAAAACCCACAACCCACACAACCCAACCACAAATCAACATTTTAATCGGGAATTCAGGATAAATTTGATTTAACCATCTAAAATTCTAAATTTAAGTCATCTTCTTCGTTTAATTTATTTGTGTTGTTGGATATTTAGATTTTAATTAGCTAATTTCAAGTTTCCAACTCTAAATTTAATTTATTGTTATTTAATTTTGATTTTATATAATTTATTATATATTATATATTATATTTTGTAAAAT